ATGGCTACCCGTGTTCGTGTTGGTTATCTTGCATTACCTTTGTTTATATTTTATTGCAGTTACGTTTATCTTTGTTGTTTGTATACCATGTATACTGCATTGACTTATACAACTATAATTGTAAATTTATTTGGTATCTTATTTTCCTGCATTAGACGAAGTATTACGTTATTATTCTTCCTACCGAGTTCTTTATAGCATACATCCGTCTACACTGGGTCGACTGATTACACTGAACAGTGACCACTATTTATAGGGGTCTGCAGAGTAGCGAGACTCGGGAACAAAAATGGCGGACAGATTCCTTTTACGAATCGTGTTCAGGTTTAATTTTCCAGCTCAGTGGTTCTAGAGAAGGATATGTTCCTTTTTATTTCTTTCTAAAATATTGATCGGCCATTGTGGCCTTTCCCTTCCTGTGGTTCATGATTAAAACATACCTGAATTTACAATACGTGAGGATAATATCACATGAGTTTTATCTTCCTGGATCAGTGGTTCCTGAAAAGATTTTTTAATAATGCTGTTAATTTTTCATTGATTTGTTATTATTTCCCTTGATAGAGGGCATGGCCCTTCCATTTAACAAACTTGAATCCTTTCACCAAATGATACTCTGTGCCAAGTTTAGTGGATTTTGGCCAAGTAATTGGAAAACATGAAACTGTAAAAAATTTACAACAACGACGTTAACAACGACAAGGACGATGACAGAAAACTAACAAAGGATGTACTGTAGAATCATCATTGTTCGTGTACATGTGGGACCAATGTTCGTGGATTTCGTGGCGGGTCACCCTAACTCACGAATTTACGTTCCCACGAACGTTTATTTTGTTTACATATTTATGAGTAAAACACTAAATTACGTCCCCTTGAATAGGTAAAAATTTGCTTACCCACGAACATTAAAGGTACTTGGACACAGATTTGAAGTCATTTTTTTCTCTATAATATAACGAATTATATATTTTAATAAAATTTCACATAAAAATTAATTAAAAATCTTATTTCATTTAAAAGTTATTAAAACTTCAAATTTTTTGGCGGGTTTGATTGACACATCCTTGCACTTTTACAAATTTTAATTTTACTCTTAATACTTAGGAAAGTGTCAATCTTGTTGTGCATGAATGAAAAATATTAATACTATAATCCAGAAAATTCAGAGTAGACATGTTCGAAAGGAAAATATTCACACAATATATTCCCAGTCCGTGCGTTGTGGTGAGCAGACTTTGACAATTGAACGCGCCCGGTGAAATAAAAACATCAACAAAAACAGAGTTCCTGCCTTGTTTACAAAAACTGTGTACATAACACGAGTGTGATCGATTTGCACACACGACTTAGCTCGGAATGACGATACTTGTGAAGGCGTTTTGCTTTCAAACATTTCTACTCTGAATAATTTTTTTTTCTGGATTAACGTTTTAATATGTCTCATTAAAACACAACAAGATTGCCATTTTTCTGAAGGATTAAGAATAAATTAAAATATGTGAAAGTGCAAGGATGTGTCAATCAAACCCGCCAAAAAATTTACAGTTTTAATAACTTTTAAATGAAATAAGATTTTAAATTAATTTTTGTGTGAAATGCAAATAAAATATATAATTCGTCATATTACTGTGTAGTATACGGAAAATATTAACTTCAAATCTGTGTCCAAGTACCTTTAATATATTGGGTCCAACGAATTAAAAATGATTCCACAGTATTCGTTTTAATAAAAGTTTTGTCGACCAATTGGAGAAAAAAAATTTCCAGAAATTTAAACCTTAAATCAATTATCCTCCAAAGTTCGCGTAGATTTTGGCGTAAAAGTTCTTTAGGGCAGGCATGTCCAAAAATTAAATTATGAAATTTTGACAGTCTTTGATCTTAAGAATTATTTTAAAAAGATTTTTTAGCTGCATAAACATAAATGTTGAAGATTTAGTGTATTTTCTTTTACAAAATCAACTGGTAATAAATTGTCTTAAAATTGTGATTCACTGTAATAAAGAGGCAGACATTTTGAAAGTTTGGGCAATTGAAAATTCATCGAACACAGAAATCAAAAATGCTAATTTAAAAAAAGAAAAAAAGAGATCATTTTGATTTCGAAACAGAGCTCAGAATCTTGAGCACATGTATAAAATTTAAACAAAGACTGTTTTTAGAAACTAATCACGACTGAATAATAAAAAAATGTTCACTTAAATCATGAGAAGTCAACAATATTAAGGGTGCAAGGATACAGATTAACATTTAATATTTTCTGTAAAATATCACGACTTATACATTTTAATAGCAGTTCACACAAAAATATATCAAAAATCTTATTTTATCTAAAAGTTATTAAAACTATTTTAAAAAGATGAGTTTGATTGACACATCCTTGCACTTTCACAAGTTTTAATTTAATTCTTAATACTTAGGAAAAGTGTCAATCTTGTTGTGTTTAAATGAAAAATATTAAAACTATAACAGAGTAGAAATTTTCGAAAGCAAAACATATACACATAGTATATTGTCAGTCCGTGCAGTTGTGCTGAGCATACTTTAACAATTGGGCGCACCCGGTGAATCGTAAACATCGAAAAAGAACAGAGCTCGTGCCCTGTTTACAAAAAACTGTGTACGTTTCACGGGTCTGATCAATTTGCTAAACTCTGTACACAACGTTTAGCGCAGAATGACGAAACTTGTGAAGGGGTTTTGTTTTCTAAAATTTCTATTCTGAATATAATTCTTTTTATGAATTTAATTTTTAATATTTTTAATTAATACACCACTTTTCCTAAGAATAAAAGTCAAATTTATGAGAGTGCAAGGATGTGTTAATCAAACCCATCCTAAAATTAGAAGTTTCAATAACTTTAAGTTGAAATAAAATATTAAGTATGTTTTTGTTTATAATGCTATAAAATATACAAGAGGCCCATGGGCCACATCGCTCACCTGAGAAGCTTTGACCATTCTGTTCTTTACCAGATTTCCTCCTTGTAATACATAATGCATCCCCATTCCCCAACCTACCCCACTGATCATAATTTAGAAAATTTGAAATCTACACTACCCCAGGATCCTTCCATGTGCACATAAGTTTCAGCTTTTCTGGCCCAGTGGTTCTTGAGAAGAAGATTTTCAAAGATTTTTCTATATATTTCTATGTAAAACTTTGATTCCCCATTGTGGCTCCGCCCTACCCCGGGGGTCATGATTTGAAGAATTTAAAATCTACACTACCCAAAAATGCTTCCACATAAGTTTCAGCTTTTCTGGACCAGTGGTTCTTGAGAAGAAGATTCTCAAAGATTTTTCCTATATATTTCTATGTAAAACTTTCATTTCCCATTGTGGTCCTGCCTTACCCCCGGGGGTCATGATTTGAACAATATAGAATCTACACTACCCCAGGATGCTTCCACATAAGTTTCAGCTTTTCTTGCCCAGTGGTTTTTGAGGAAAAGATTTTCAAAGATTTTTCCTATATATTTCTACGTAAAACTTTGATTCCATATTGTGGCCCCGCCCTACCCCCGGGGGTCATGATTTGAACAATTTAGAATCTACACTACCCAAGGATGCTTCCACATAAGTTTCAGCTTTTCTTGCCCAGTGGTTCTTAAGAAGAACATTTTCAAAGATTTTTCCTATATATTTCTATGTAAAACTTTGATTCCCCATTGTGGCCCCACCCTACCCCCGGGGGTCATGATTTGAACAATTTAGAATCTACACTATCCCAGGATGCTTCCACATAAGTTTCAGCTCTTCTGGCCCAGTAGTTTTTGAGAAGAAGATTTTTTAATGACCCCACCCTATTTTTGTCTTTTCTTGATTATCTCCCCTTGTGAGGGGACTTGGCCCTTCATTTTAACAATTTACATTTCACTTCACCCAAGGATGCTTTGTACCAAGTTTGGTCAAAATTGGCCCAGTGGTTCTTGAGAAGAAGTCGAAAATGTGAAAGTTTACAGACGGACAGACGGACGGACGACGGACAAAATGTGATCAGAAAAGCTCACTTGAGCCTTCGGCTCAGGTGAGCTAAAAAGTCATGATATTATACAGAAAATATTAACTTCAAATCTGTGTCCATGCACCTTTAAAGTTTGATGTTTAAAACATTAAGGACAGATGATACAAACCATTTTTTTTTATTTGAAAAAGATTTAATATCATGTCTCAAATTTAGAAAAGTGGATGGTTCTTAGAATTTTTTCTCCTAAGAACTGGAATATAAAAAAGACTTGGAAAATATTAGTAAATATAGACATATAACATTCAGTTAAGGTTTACAGGTGAAAACAAATTTCAGAATATGTTACCATGGTGCTAAAAGTGTAACATAAACTTAAGAAAAATATACCAAGCCAGGTGAATTTTATTAGGAAGAGCTAAATTGTAAAATTCAGCCTAGGTGATATTGCTTATTTTTTGCCATTTTGATCTTCCTCTTAAAATTCAGGCAAAAATGAAAACCCAACGGCATTTATGTACATTTGTAATCCACTGAATGCGCGTCAACCCTTTATGACGTCACTGAGAAATTACGTCGAACATTTATCCATACGCACATCTATGTCCTCTTGAACCCGTACCGGTATTTATACAATTATAGATACGCATTGCTTTCAGTAGTGTTATATAAAGGAAACATTGGCAAATGTAAATATCCAGAAATAAAAGCCGTGCACTATTTCGGCATAGTATGCTTACGCTATACAAACTGACAGGAAGCATAAATATGCCTGATAGTGATCGAGCGCACGTTTCCTTTTGCTGAAACTCAATTAATGACTAAATAATTTTAAGGTATCGACGAAAGGAAAATTGATAATGGACATTTAAACTTTTAGAAACTTGAATTGTTTCCTCTATTTTGGATGTGCTAATTCCGAGAAGGAGAGAAGAACTTCAGCTTTATTATGTAAACATTCTTATTTAATCGTTAATTTGAAATTCAGATGAGGGCAAATAATAAAAGGCAAAATAATACAATGTAATCAAAAAATTTTATTTTTCCTGATTATAAAAAGTATACAATACTGTAGCTTTATTGTACTGTAAAGAAAAAAAAACAATAATATAAATGAACAATACTTATAGGCAATAAAATACAACGGCAAATGAATTCATAAAAACAACAACAAAAAGAAGCCCATGGGCGACATCGCTCACCTGAGTTACTTGGGTGATGCAGTTCTTTGCCAGATTTCCCCTCTCCTTATATCTATTGTGGCCCCTAACACCCCCTCCCACGGTCTTGATTTTAATAAAATATTAATTTAGAATCTACACTACCCTAGGTTGCTTCCACATAAATTTCACCTTTTATGAAGATTTTTATAGATTTTTCCTATATATTCCTATGTAACACTTGGATTCCCTATTGTGGCCCCGTCTTATCCCCGGGGTTTATGATTTTAACAACTTAGAATCTACACTACCTCAGGATGCTTTTCTGGCCCAGTGGTTTTTGAGAAGAGGATTTTTAATGACCCCACCCTATTTTTTTTTTATTATCTCCCCTTGAAGAGGTACTTGGCACTTCATTTTAACAATTTAAACTTCCCATCACCCAAGGATGCTTTGTACCAAGTTGAAAATATGAAAAGTTTACAGACGGACAGACAACGGACAAAAGGCAATCAGAAAAAGCTCATCTGAGTATGAGAAAAGCTCATACAAAAGGTTTGTAAAGTTCTGTCATTGATGGCACTGGAATTGATTACAACATACTTTTCAATGACGATTCCGATGTACATAATTAATATTAAGGATCAACGTTACAATTACAATATAATTTTTTGGACTTCATTTGAAATAAGAATATTCCAAAAATTTAGGTGAAGACTGTACAGGTATTACCGCAGTATAATAAAGGAAGCTATCGGCGTTCTGCTGTTGGGAAACATTTGTCTATGAGGTATAATAAAGGAAACTGTCGGCGTTTTATTGTTCGGTAGCATTTGTCTGTGAGGTAATAAAATAAAGGAATATATCGGCGTTCTATTGTTTTGTATCATTTGTCTGTGGCGGTAGGAATGGCTGTTGTGTGCTGTATCCTGCAGGATACTGTGTTGGGTAATTTCCGGTTGGGTATAATGTTGTAGTGTTCGATTGTTGTGGAGAATAGGTAGCATAAGGAATGCCTGGTTGATTTGTTGTTTGACCTTTAAAAACAAGCAAAAAAGAAATAATTTATGTAAAAACAAGAGGCCCATGGGCCTTATAGGTCACCTGAGCATTATGCAACAACTTTCTAGTGATTAAATTTAATTCATCATAACAATACACTTAGCAGTTGCTTAGTTTGTTTACTCAATACCCATACACAAGGTAGGGGAACACAAAATTATTTCAACTAATCAGCCATATTCAGCAATAATCAGTAGTGCCCCTACTACACATGAACCCCTGACCCTAAGGCCTTGATATTTGATTAATACCAAGGAGCAGATTTCAAACCATTCATTCATTTTCAGTATATAAGTACACCCCCCCCCATATTACCCCTGACCATGGGACCTTGAAATTCACAATTCTGGAAGATTAGGGCCCTTGTAGATAATAACTATATAGGTAGTTCATCTGCTTAATACCCTAGAGCAGAGAAGAAATTTTTTTTAAAGATTTAATGAATTTTCACTATATAATCTAAAGCCCTGCACTAACACCAAAACCCCTGACCCTGGGGCAAAAAATTCATAATTTTGGTAGAGGCACTCTTTCATCATAACTAGGCAAAGTTTATTTAATACCCAGGAGCAATGAAGAAGATTTTCAAAAAAATCCTGTATTTTCATATATAATCAATAAGCCCCACCCTAACACCAGAACCCCTGACACTGGGGCCATAAAATTCACAATTTTGGTTGAGACACTCTTGTTCATCATAACTATGCACTTAGTTAGTTTATTTAATACCCAGGAGCACAGAAGAAGATTTTGAAAGAACTCATGTATTTTAACTACATAATCTAGTTAGTAGCGCTAGAACCCCTGACCCTTGGGCCATAAAATTCACAATTTTGGTAGAGCCACTCTTGCTCATCATAACTATGTACTTAGTTTAATTAATACCCAGGAGCAGAGAAGATTTTCAAAGAATTCATGTATTTTCACTATATATCAATAGAGCCCCCCCCCTAAATACCAAACTCCTAATCCTGGGGCCATAAAAATCACAATATTGGTAAAGGCATTTGCTCACCATAACTAGGCACTTATTAGTCAATTAATACCCAGGAGCAGAGAAGAAGATTTTCAAAGAATTCATGTATTTTCACTATATAATCAATAGAGCCCCACCCTAACACCAGAACCCCTGACCCTGGGGCCAAAAAAATTCACAATTTTTGTAGAGGCACTCTTGCTCATCATAATTATATACTTTGTTAGTTTATTTAATACCCAGGAGCAGAGAAGAAGATTTTCAAAGAATTCATGTATTTTCACTATATAATCAATAGAGCCCCACCCTAACACCAGAACCCCTGACCCTGGGGCCATAAAATTCACAATTTTGGTAGAGGCACTCTTGCTCAACATAACTATGTACTTAGTTAGTTTATTTAATACCCAGAAGCAGAGAAGAAGATTATCAAAGAAATAATGCATTTTCACTACCTACTTATTTAGCCCCGCCCTAGCACTAGAACCCCTGACCCCAGGGCCATGAATTTCACAATTTTGGTAGTGGACTCATTGCTGATGACATTCATGCAAACAGTTTGACTGCTTGATGCCCAGGAGTAAAGAAGAAGATTTTTAAAGATTGCATTCATTTTAGTGGTTTTGGCCCCACCCCTCAGGCCCCTGGGGGGCAGTTGGATCATGAAATTCACAATTTTTGTTCCCCTTCACCCATAGATGCTTTGTGCCAAATTTGGTTGAAATTGGTTCAGTGGTTGCAGAGAAGAAGCTGAAAATGTTCAAATGTTAACGCACAACGCACGACGCACAACGCACGACGCACGACGACAGACGAAAACGGATAGCAATAGGTCACCTGAGTTTACTCAGGTGACCTAATAAACAGGATTATATTTCTCCTAAGAATGCACTTCAATATTTTTGAAAGTGGTACCTTTAATATATTAAGTTAGTAAAAATTTAATGAAATAGTTCACTATACAGTTAGAAAATCAAATAATATACACACTTAAGATATAATAAAACCTTAATTCAATGTTAAGGCTAGTTTAGATATAAATAATTAAACTTAAAAAAGTATACCTGAGGTATTCTGAGCCGGTCTTAGTACTTGACCCTGGGTAGGTTTCCGCCTACACACACAATAAATTATTATTCCTGCTACTATTGTTATTAAAACTATGCCACTGATCACTCCTCCCACGATGGCTCCAACAAAAGTTCCATCTGTATTTTGTCAAAATGAATAAATTAATAAAAAAACAAATTATTGGTATAAACTGTCAGTCATTTTTTGAGAAAACAAACAGTATCATGTTATCAAGATTAAAATTCTATGGAAACTTTAAAAATGGGAAACAAAGGAAACACTGATTGACCTCTAAATCATCAGAGGTGGGATCAGGTGCTATGGAAGATTAAACACCCCTGCCGAACGGTCACGCATACTATGTGCTCAAACTTGTGTATAACGATGAATACTGTTGATTCATTATATAATTTGTATATTTTGGCCATCAAGATTATAATGGGGTACTGGGTGTGGGATGGGGCAAATAAGAGAAAAGTTTCTGTAGACCGTACTTAATAAAGATGATTAAAGCTAATGTTAAATTCTTTTATAGTGGGGGAAAAAAACTTACAATCAAAAGATTTCTCAGCGCTGATAAGTAGCTTAAAACTAGCATTTGATGTATCTTTATCGTCTCGTGCTTTGAAATGGATATAAAGAAAGTCATCACTTGACCCACAAAATTTGGTGTTGTAATTTTCTGTACAGGTTACTCTCTGAAGTCAAATCAATTCAAAATTGAATTAACATTTAAATATTTATTAACCAGACAGATAAAAGAAGTCTTTCATCGAAGAAAGTCTTTTTTTCATTTAATGAATGAATTTAATAACCATCCATTTTATACATTGCTGTTATTAGAAACTGGACTGGAGCAGTTTACGCTCCATAAACCGCGAATCGGTTTATAAAAAAGCATATACTCTTCCATCCCAGTTTACACCGTTTTAAATGGGTGGCTATTGAATTTATTTCTTATAATTTAATTTTCATTCATTTGGTGTAAGAAAAAAGGATATTATTTAAAAAACAAGAGGCCCAAGGGCCTTGAATCGCTCTTCTGATAAATTGTACAATCTATCACTTCTATTTGAAGCCTCTAACCTTAAGTATCGTAAGATCCAAGTTGTTGCATCAACTGACAAATTTTGATGATTCTTAGCCAATTAGGACTGAAAATATTTTTAATAATAAAGCTATAAAAAACCATAAGTACATCACAGTGACCTATATTAAGATTGAAGTTTTCTGAGGACTCAATAATGCAAAGATGCATTAATAAACAAAGATTGAAGATTCTAAGCCAATAAGTATTTGAGATATTTAAAAGTAGGTCACTGTGACCTACTTCTTTGTCTACATTCTTTGAAAACCCAAGATACATCAACTGACAATGTTTGATGATTCTAAGCCAAAAAGTACCTGAGATATTCAAAAGTAGGTCACCATGACCTACTTTTTGATCGACATTCTCTAAAAACCAAAGATGCATCAACAAACAAAGTTTAGTGATTCTAAACCAGTTAGTACCATAGATACTTAAATAAAGCCATAAAATGTCAAAAATTAGGTCACCGTGACCTACTTTTTGGACATAATTCTCCGAAAACCCAAGATGCATCAACTTACAAAGTTTGATGATTCTAAGCCAATAAGTACCGTAGATACTTAAATAAAGCCATAAAATGTCAAAAGTAGGTCACTGTGACCTACTTTTGGTCGTCACTCTCCAAAAAACCTACAACACATCAACTCACAAAGTTTGATGATTCTAAGCCAATAAATAAAAAAGATACTAAAATAAAGCCATAATGTCGAAAGTAGGTCACAGTGACCTACTTTTTGGACATCTTTCTCCGAAAACCCAAGATGCATCAACTTACAAAGTTTGATGATTATCTAAGCCAATAAGTACCGTAGATACTTAAATAAAGCCATGAAATATCAAAAGTAGATCACCGTGACCTACTTTTTGTTCATCACTCTCCAAAAACTCAAGACGCATCAACTCACAAAGTTTGATGATGCAAAGCCAATAAATAAATAAGAGATACTAAAATATAGCCATAAAATGTCGAAAGTAGGTCACAGTGATTTACATTTTGGACCTCATTCTCCGATAACCCAAGATGCATCAACTTACAAAGTTTGATGATTCTAAGCCAATAAGTACCGTAGATACTTAAATAAAGCCATAAAATGTCAAAAGTAGGTCACCGTGACCTACTTTTTGGTCGTCACTCTCCAAAAACCCAAGATGCATCAACTCACAAAGTTTGATGATTCTAAGCAAATAAATACCTAAGATACTAAAATATAGCCATAAAATGTTTAAACTAGGTCATCGTGACCTATATTTTGATCGAAAATTTTCAAAGTCACAAGATGCATCTGTTGACCAAGTTTGATGATCCTAGGTCTGAAGGTAATCTAAATATGCGTTTTAAACAATTCGAAAACAAATACCTGCGAAATTCAAAAAGTAGGTCACAGTGACCTACTTTTCCATAAATATGTTTTAAGGTCCCAAGATGCATCAATTTACAAGATTTGATGATTCTAAACCTCTCAGTGTATGAAATAATTGGATTAAATGTTTTAAGGAGAATAAGTCATAAAGTTCAAAAAGTAGGTCACGGTGACCTACTTTTAAGCTGCCGTTGTTCAAGGACCCAAGATGCACTAACTGACAAAGTTTGATGATCATAGGCCTTAAAGTGCCTGAAATATGCCTTCAAATCAATTTGAAAACAAATGCTCACAAAATTTAAAAAGTAGGTCATCGTGACCTACTTTTGAGTTAACATGATGTGAAGTCCTGAGATGCATCAAATTACAAGATTTGATGATCCTAGTCCTAATAGTAAGCAAACTATAAACATTTTTATTATTTGTAAATTTAGGTCAACTTTGAAGTGACCTTGAGACCACGCCCTTTGCCCGAGGGTCATTCCTCGAACAATTTTTAATCTTCAACATATCCTGATCCTTGTATGTAAGTTTGGTAAAAATCTGCCCGGTGGTTCTGGAGAAGAAGATTTTTTAGCAACCAGTACTTTTGGTTTTGTTTTCCTGATTATCTCCCCCTGTTTATGGGTCCTAACCCTTATTTTAGTATAAAAGGTAGCCCTTGGGCCAAGGATACCCTGTGACAAATTTGGTACTGATTGGCCAAGGGGTTCTTGAGTTATGGCCCATATTCTAAAAAGTAAAACGCACACCGCACAAATGGCCATAGCATTAGCTCTTTGAGCCTTTGGCTCAGAAGAGCTAAAAATGACTCCAATTTGCACAAAATTTGAATGTAACGTCAGTTACAGATTGATACGTTTTTGACGCAAGTCATTGTGACGTAGGGGATAGGCAACCCCTTTTATATGATTAAAAGTTTATAGTAAATTTTTAATCCAATCAAATCAGTGTTACATCAAGAATTAAATTATATGAATATTCATGAATTTCAAGAATGGAAGTTTTGCCTGTTAGTAATTGAATAAACCTGTCCTGTATTCACGTTTAACCTTTGCTTTTTACAATTATATTAGTAATATATATATAATTGCGTTTATTCCACTAAAACTTCCTCAAATATTCACAAGGTAGCAAAGACATATCTATTTATAAATGAAACTGAAAACACAAAACATAAACACGGTTACAGCTTTTGTATGAATGGCGTGTATATAAAACAAACCTGTATTGCTGGGCCAAAAATGGACGAAGTATACTTTAACTCTACAGCACAATCAGGATCGTCGAAATATTGAGGTGTAACACAAATCTTATACTCATCCATGATTTCATCTCCTCTTCCCTCAAATGAGTAGTCATCGCACAATAAACCCACAGTCTTGCCATGGTATTCAACATAAAAGGCACGATTTTCGTCCAATTCCTTTAGGAAAACAGAACAAGTGTCTCCAAATTCATCTGTAAATTATTAAAACGAAGCCAAAGTTATTATTTAAGTACATGTAACTGTTGTAGTTATTTTCTCGTTTTAAGGTCAGACGACACGTTCCTAAAACGTGTTTTGTATCTCTTGGTATTATATAAAAATAATTCAAATTTATCAACTTAAGGTCATATTCAATGTAGTTTGAATTTTTTGTCTTTTTCCATATAGTTGAAGAGTTCCAAACCTTGAAGTAACTGTGCGTTATATTTTAACTTCTATATACATGTATGGTGTTGTACACTTCTTCTATTACAATTTTGGATAAAAGAAATATCTAGAATATATGTTTAGTATTTTTTATATATTTTTCTTTGAATCATCCAAAAAATTTCAAAAACCCCTGGTTAGGCATGCTGAGTTTTTGTCTATGAACATCTTATGACACTATAATATTAGATTAAGACTATCTTTAAAAATTATCAGCAGGTAAGGTACGTTGCGTATGTCCTTAATACCTAATAAAAGAGAAAAAAATTTAATAAAGGCGTTTTCAATATGTAGTAATATATGAGCTCCCACCCCACCCCCAAACACCAATCCCCTTACCCAGGGGCCTTGAAATTCAAAAGAAAATGGCTTTTTACAGAATTTGTGTGCATGGAGATCTTCAATACAAACTGAATTATATTTAGCAGAGTTCAGCCTTAGCATTAGATCCTCTTTCCCTGGGTCTATGAATTGCACAATTAATGTATAGTGCTCAATGCTACAATTATGCCAACTGTTTGACTGCTTGATGTCCGGTAGTAAAGAAGATTTTAAAGATTGCACTAATTTTGATAGCTTTGGCCTCATCCCTCATCCCTCAGGCCCCAGTGAAGCAGGGTCGTGATTTTCATGAAGATTGCTTTATCCATTAATGCTATATTGAATTCACAAACTGGTTAATATTTCTCCAGTAGTTCCAGAGAAGAAGCTGAAAATGTTAAGATTTTATTTAAAGCACAATGCCCGATGCAGGAAGACGGACAAAAACCGATAGCACCAATAGGTCATCTGAGTGTAAGGTCACCTGAATACATTTTTAACAAGAGGCCCATGGGCCACATCGCTCACCTGAGCACTAAGGGTAGGAAAAAGTAGAAAATGGCTTTTTAATGTAAAGTTTAAATCCAAAAGTAGTCCCATGACCAATCATGGATTTGCTATTTTTTAGAAAATGATTTTTATATAAAGAATTTTCCTATTATATCTTTAAAAACTTTGGGTGGCCATTTTGGCCCCGCCCTACCCCTGGGGGTCATGATTTGAACAAATTTGAATCTACATACTTGAACATGCTTCTATATAAATATGATGAATTATGGCTTTGTCATTCTTGAGAAGAAGATTTTTAAAGAATTTTCCTATATATTTCTATGTAAAACTTAGGTCGGCCATTTTGGCCCCGCCCTATCCCCGGGGGGTAATCTACACTACCTGAGGATGTTTCCCCAAGGGTCATGATTTGAACAAACTTGAATCTACACTACCTGAGCATGCTTCCATATAAATGTGATGAATTATGGCTTTGTCATTCTTGAGAAGATTTTTAAAGAATTTTCCTATATATTTCTATGTAAAACTTTGGTCGGCCATTTTGGCCCTACCCTGCTCCAGGGGGTCATGATTTGAACAAACTTGAATCTACTCTACCTGAGCATGCTTCCATATAAATATGATGAATTATGGCTTTGTCATTCTTGAGAAGAAGATTTTTAAAGAATTTTCCTATATATTTCTATATAAAACTTAGGTCGGCCATTTTGGCCCCACCCTATCCCCGGGGGTAATGATTTGAACAAACTTGAATCTACACTACCTGAGGATGTTTCCCCATTAGTTTCATCTTTCCTGGCACAGTGGTTCTTGAGAAGAAGATTTTTAAAATATGCCACCAAATTTTCATTAATTCCCAATTATCCCCCCTTGAATGAGGGCGTGGCCCTTCATTTGAACAAACTTGAATCCCCTTCACCCAAGGATACTTTGTGGCAAAGTTTGGTTGAAATTGGCCCAGTTGTTCTTGAGAAGAAGTCGAAAATGTGAAAAGTTTACAGACAGACAGACGGACGCCGGACAAAATGTCAACAGAAAAGCTCACTTGAGCTTTCAGCTCAGGTGAGCTAAAAATCAAAACTTACTATAACACGACTAAAGTTAGCTATCTCAGCTGTTCACTTCAACGCACTTATATGATAAAGGGACAAATGTATGAATTAATAAGAAGTAAAAAAAAACTTACAAGAAATAATTTCCGTTGCAATAACGGTCGGAAAAAATAAAACAGCAATAAGATCACAGCATTTTGGTGTTCTTTTTAACTTCATCCTGTCCAACCTATTCAAATAAAAAGTATTTGTTAACCATTGGTTAACAGCTTTACTATTTTTTTCCGATGGTAAATACTTTAATTTAGCATTATCATTACTTTTAAGACAGAAATATAAAATGTCATCGTCATGTTTTCGTATGAATAATTCTATAAATCATAGTACATGTACTTATAAGAAGTTGCCTTATAGGACCTATATATAGCTGTGTCATGCATCCGTTTTCTTTGGAATTTAGGATTGCGCATTTTAGGAGGAAAACATTTGAGTTCCGCTTCGTCTTATTGATGTTTATCAGTTATGTAAAAAAATAACCTCTCTAAACACTGCAGTTTTTATCGATACGTGTATTTTCTTTTGTTCTTGTACATTTTACTTCAAACTTGTTTATAAATATAGCGATTACTGCGCAGAAAAATGGCGTTCCATAATATTATAAACATCAACAAATGGTTATCGACTATCGTATAGGCTCCTACATATAGATTTTAATGTGTAAATTATAAAATAGAACCTTCTAAACTGTGCACATCCCTTTTGAAAGATAAGCAGGATAATTACAGAATTATAAATATGATAATAATTCATAAAACTATATCTTCATGTACCTGTATATGCTGCTCCCCGATCAGAAGGAATGTATGGTTGCCTGCAGTTGTCAGAAGTTATATTTAAGCTGACTACATGTTGACTACAATGTATATAATGAATACACTTTCCAATATCATATTTAGCATCCATATAATAAGCTTGTCTGGCTAGTCACGAAACTGCCATATTATTGAGATTAAAAAAATGTCAATTTAATATAAATTTTAAAAATTTAATGAGTATTAAAAAAAAATCCGCACATCACATATAGGTACGCCTAGAGCTAATTTTAAGTTGAAAGAATCGTTTTTTTAGTACAAATGTATCTGAATCTCATCTTCAATACACTTAAATTACAAAGAGTGCATATACATGTTTATTATACCTCTGTGAATTTGTTCAATATAAAAACATGACGAATAAACATGCTATCTTTTTCAAACAGCCCTACTGTGAAATAGTTTTTGTGCTATCTGCCCATGGTGAAATAGTCATCAAACTATTCCCCGGCAGCATTCTGTTTCCCTCGCTTTTCATCTCGGAAAACTTTTAGTTTTATACGGATTGTGACGCGTATATATATTATGACGTAACAAAAGTTAAGTCAGCATCGGTATAATATACACCTATTTACTGACTATGAGGACAATAGCAAGTTTATCGTTCCCCAAGACAGCAAACTATTTCCCGAGGAATTTTTTCCCCATTTATAATTAAAATTTTTATATTCATAATATACATGTAATATGTATATTCATAAAATATATCCAATCTATAACAGTTAAATTGTGAGGATAGAATTAAAACTAACGGAAAAGGGAAGAAAATTGATATATACGATCAATGTTTTTACCGGAACTTTTAATGATTTATTACATTTATAGATCCCCTTACAACTTGACCTGAACTTGCACCCAGAATGAGAATCGATATCATATGACTAAGAAAATATCTTTGCCAAATAAAAAAAGAAAATTAAAACAGTAGATCACTGATAAGATTTTTATATGTAGGTACATGTACAAAAATAACTGATGAACTTGCTATTTCACTATGTGCGATGATCCACAACCCGGAGAAATAAACATTCTGTATTCATGACTGACCAGGCATACTGTAAAACCTGACTTGGCCTTATTAAGCTTCTGATCCCGCGGTCTGGTCTCAAAAAATTTACTTTGAATTTTGACAAAATCTTTAGCCTGGTTACAACCTTAGTCAATCTTTTTTTCCCGACACTTTTATGATGTTATACTTATAAATCAAAGGGAAATTTATTGTCTAATTCTACTGAAAGCAAGAGCCTAAAGAAGATGGGCGCATTTGGCGTGTTATCTGCAGGAATCATTTGTACGAAACATTTATGGTTTAAATGTCCATGATTTGGTTGGCTGAACATAGCTGGTCAGATTTTACAAACACGTCCAAAGGTTTTTTTTTTTTATAATTTAGTTTGAAAGTGTGAGATTGTAACATTTTTGTCCGTTTTTCCTAGGGGATACTGTAACATAGACTAGTAATTTTTCACAAAAAATAAACACCTAAAATATTTAATGCATATAGATGCACGATACGTGTACATGTACATTATATAGAATAGAAGATTAGAATTGATTTCGCTTGAGAACCAAACTGAACCAAAATTTATCTAATTCAAAATTTTAATACATCAGTACATAAAAAGAAACTGACAAAATAAATGGTTGTTTGCATGAAAAAAAAAAATAACGCCCCATGCCAGGCTCGAACCAAAGACTTTTCTATTCCAGTGCAGTGAACAGGTATCCCAACTTACTGAGCTATCACCGCTACACATACACAAACGATTTTAAAAGGAAAAAGAAGCACCACATTCACACATTTGGATTTTTTAGGGAAAAGTTCGTTTTTCGTGGTCTCTGGGTCTTCTCTCCATTTTTTAAAAAAGTGTATTAGTTTCTTTGAATTAAAATACACACAAATAACATTTCAAAATCATGGAGAGAAAACCCAGAGATAGAATTTTTTTTTTAGAAAAACGTGTTTAAAAATGTACCATTTTGTACCAAATGTCTGATTTGGCCAATTTTCAAGTTATTTTTTAGCAAATCAAAGCTCAATTTTGGGAAGATATTTTCCTTTCCTATTGCACAGGAACCCGATAAATAAAAAAAAATGTTAAATTTTAAGTGACATGACGGTAAAACTTTCATTTTTCAATTACGCCCAGATTCCTGCCGAATGCCAATCAAAAGCGTCCTCGTTCTTTAGGCTTAAACTTGAACTTGAAAGGTGAGGTACTTAAATGTACAACAACTAAACTATTTATTTTTACCTGGTATATACCTATGTGTAGCATAGCAGAATTACATGTATATATATGTATATATAACTTTAAAATTGTGATTTTATTTTTATGCGTTTATTATGAAATATATAGGTAGATTAATAAAAGTTTTACAAATATATAAAATTACAAAGTTATTAAAAGTGTCTGTGTTGATTTATTTGACAATTTTGTTGAATTAATTATTTTCCCGCCAAAACTCTATTGAGCGATTGGTGTGGACATATCTCATAACTAGTGACCAGAGACAGGTTTTTAATTTATTTGGGGTGTTGGTCACACTTATCCAGTGCTGTGGTACCAGCAGGTTGTGTCTATAATTTCAATGTACTTTCGTGGACTTAGGATTTTCAGTCATGGTATGTTTGACTTTTTGTTTGGTTTTTATCTTTGAAGTTTGAGCATTGTTTCAGGACGAGATTTCTATATTTCCAGTAGTTCAAAACTTGCATGTTTAATTCTTTTAGAACAGCACAGCACTTAGATAAATTTCCTATATTTTTGGAGAGCCTTAATTCCATAATTTTGGTAAGTCGTTTGTTAAATATTATTTGTAAATGTAAGTGTAAATAATTGTTTTATTTTAACACTAAACTTTCCTAGTTACATGTAAATAGGTTCAGTGGAGATCACTTTATAAATTAAATTTATAAGTGTTTAAACTATAACTATATTGAGTAAATGCGTTCAGATACGTATTAATCAGCGAGAGAATATATATATTCTATGAATAATGTTTTCTATTATAATATGAACACTTGATTGTTGTATACATTGCCGAGGTTTTGTACTTTATTTTACAGGGCCATATCTTTATTACCAGGATTTTTTTATTTATCATGTATGAGATGAGATGGAATTAACGTAATACATAACCTGCTGAACTTTCAAACCAGTGTTGTCTTATTTTATTACGCAACCAAGGTTTTCATTTAGACTATATGTATATATGATTAAATGGAATTTAAAAATGAAAGGTTTCTAAATTCATTTAATAGTTGCGAATATGAAAGTAAAACTGCTCATTTTTATCATTCAATCAATCTTATACAGAGAAACGTCTAGCTAGGATAATTTTTTTTAAAATTTATTTTCAATTAATTCAGTTGAACCCCAAAACTTAGGAGTCCAAAATATTAAATGTTTAAAATGGAAACTTGGGATCACGTCACCCAAATGAAGGCAATCAGACTATGAACATACACAATGTACATAATTATGTAAGTCTTTTTAAAGTCATTAAACATTGTATTTGATAGAAATACACTTAAATGTACAAAAATTATCAGCACTGTGTCGCTCAGCCTCCACTTACACTGTCCGTTGAAGGAATATTCATGTTGTTTTTAAATTAACATTTTGTTACTTTTTCATCATTTCTGTCAAAATATAATTTTTATAAACGCAAATACAATGAGAGTGACTGTTTTGTATATATGAACTGTCAGGTTATAATTCCTAAATTCTTCAAAGAAGTTTGTATACTAGTAAATTAACAAAATAAACACACTCGAGATGAAAAAAAGAACAAGCATTTTGAGAGTGTTGCATTAACATTACTAGCCCCCTACTGGCAAGTGATGCCTAGATCCCTTAAAAATTGAAAACCCTAAGAATCCATCAAAAATCAATGAATCGAAACAAATATCGCAAACTTCATCTATAACTCATCAAGTTCAATTATTAAGTTTAATGAAAACTGTAGTCGATGATCTATCTTTTTCACGAGAACTATAAAAATATGTTATCATGATATCACACAAATATTCAAATACGCAAGTCCTTTGGATAAGGCCATATGAAATCCAGAACCCGTATCGCTTTACGTGTTGGGACGAAAACGTTCTCTCCCTGTTCACTGGCCTTGAGTACAGAGTATAGGTGTCATATTTTAAATATTAAATTAACAGGATAGGAGTAAATACAAAATTTAGAGTTCTAAATTTTGCATTTACTTCCACCCGGTAAATTCAAAATTTAGAACATGATATAGGTATCAATTCGCTGCTCTCCAACGTTAAGTTTTGGTTTTTCCAAAAGAGTAGATAAAAGATATCGAGATAAATAAAAGATAAAATAAATGTTATCTGCGAATAAGAATGCAGTTTGCTTTTTTGTAATTTTTTTTTTCAATTCCTATTTACAGAAAATCACTGATATCTGATAATTACCTTATTAAAAGAAAATGAAAATTCTGCGAAACGTTAATCACGCGACGCATATCCATATATAAGATAGACACCCTTATGAAGTTCACTGGGACCTTTTCAATTGTGATAAAAGAGAGGTAAGTATTTAACTTTATTATTTAAAATTATTCGAATTCTTTTATCAATGATACAAAAGTTGAAATATCTTTTTCTTACAGCAAGGAAAGTCTTTTAAATATTGTCATTCAACAATATGTTAAATTTTACTTGATTGTTGGTGGTAAACCAAATTCACTGACAATTTAATTTCATATATTCATACAAATTATAAACACACATGTGTATTGTAAATGTTTATTTAACAAAAATCATTAATATTTGTTTGATCTGTTCGGAAAACGTGAATATCTGCGCTTTGTTTTATGGCATAATAAATAAAATACGCTGATACATTGGAATAAGAGCAATTTGATACCTCTTACATTCCAACCTAATGTGTTAAGTCGTTTTATAGCCTTTTCTTTGGAAATCCCACCAAAGAAAATTTTCTTACTTTGACAAACATTTATTAATTTAGATTGAGTTCACGTTATTCAGCTATGGGGATTAATTTATATCTCGGTAGTATTTATATAATGAAAAAAAAAACGACACAGATTTATAATTGGCCATTTTAATTTCAATGGGGAAAAATTTATTTTTGGCTACATTAAATTGTAAAAAGATATTTTATAATTCCTTTCTATAACTACATGTTAACTCTAAATTTAAAAGGCAACTGGTAGCGAAATCATTAAGAAAACAAAACAACTAAAATACCTATATTAAGCAATAATAAATAAATAAAGCAGTAATATCAGTTTTTTTTTATTGATTCTCCGTGTTAAATGTAAATTATCTGAGACCATACATACTGAGGTCCCGAGTCGCAGTAGGTGCTGGGACGAACAGATCCCTCTTTGCCCAATGGACCTGTGTTCCAATTTAAACTCTCCAACGTTAAGTTCTGGCCTCTCTATATAAGTGATATTCATCTATCCTTTACCCAAATGCATTTTCACTGTATTCTGGCCATGGATTTGAAATCAAAACCATTAGACGAATATTGTTTTTACCTTTTAAAAGAAAAGTCCCACATGAACAGCAGATTTCATACATGTAGTTTGGCACAAAATATCTTTTCAAGTGGAGTATTATCTTACCTATTATATAAACAAATTATATATGAGACTAAACATACACACATCTGTAAGATAATGAGATTCTCTAACAAAAACACCACACTTACACAATATTACCCTCCTCTTAATTGCTTTCGTCAGTTGAGGTATTGTTTAGACACCACATTTATCTATTTTTAATAAATCAACTATGTATAAAAAATAATTCAATCGGTGAGCAGACGTCAAAATTCGATTTTATTTGGTATACTACATATTCCTTGCTATAATGCATTTTTGAAAATATAAAATATAAAATAATTGCACCAAGCAATAAAATTAAATAGAACATCGTAATCAATTAGTTTTCGAAAGACATGAATAGAATTCACATTACATTTGTATACCAAGGATAATCCATGAAAGCCAATGGCTTATTCCAATATTGTGTTATGAAACATATTGTGTTACATGTTTCTAAATTCAGATATTTTTTGTTTGTTTCAGATTTAGAGCACCCAAACCACAAAAGAAACCTCATCACAAAAGATTTTAATTTGCATTAAAAAGTATGCAAACTCACTACATCAGAAAATTTTTTTAAATAATCAAGTCAATAACCAAAAGATTAAAATTCAAGATTTCTAGATTTTTAGGTTCTTTTTCGTCTATTAATTGTTCTTAAATCCTCCATACTTATTGTAAGACTCGATCATATTAGAGTTGGCAAAAAATGAGAAAAATATTAATTTAGTTTGTATTTTCCCCCCCACAGAACTAGATGCGCAAGATGTTGATGTATTGTTTACATTGTAAAGCCTGGACAGAATGCGTGGTTGATTCCACAATTCCTCCCAGCAGTAACCCAAAAAGGTCAGAAACAAAAATATTTTAGGAACATGCACAAAATGTGGATCAAAGACGTCCGAAATTGTTGGCTGATGATATTTGATTGAAATATTGAACATTGCGCTTATGACTCCTAGAGGACAGATTCCTTTCACTGGCAATATCAACGAGCAACAAGAAATCAGAGGGGAATCTCAATTTCATTTCAGTAAATGACAAGCACTTCACCTCAGAACGGCAAATATTATACAAAATGCAGGATTCTAAAATCAAAAGTATTGATTTGAATTCCATCTTTTTTCAAATATTAGAATATCTCACAATATCAACTTCTTCAAAATACATAACCATTACTGCATTACTGAAAAGAAATCTCTACGTATTAACCCACACTCTTTGCGTTTAACGTACTAATCACGTAAGGTAAAGAGAGAAGGATGGCAGAAATCAATATCGAGTCTAACCAGATTGAAAGAAGTCAAAGCATTGACATTGACATGGATGTAGCCGTAGGATCCTTGAAGCTGAAAATTAAAATTTCAACGTTTGAAGCGAAAATTCTGCTCGCCTTATGTTTGTGTGTGTACATTACTATGTGTACTTATTTTTGGACAGGAATGAAATAACATCCAATGAGGCCTAAGCTAGTTAACGAGCATAACTGCTAAGCAGCGAAGATGAGACTTTGTAGAAATGATGTTTAGAGAATAAATTATTCATCTTAATACAAGTGTTTGTATTTTTGTTATGTAAATGTTTTTTTCTTCATCTCTCCTTGTATCTATTTACAAAGTCTCTGCATCTAATATCCAAAAGTTACATGCACAGCGTTGTACAATACTTTACAAGTGGAGACATTATACATCACTGGGAGTTGTTATGCTTACCTGCAGCATCACTGGATATTTTTGTATGTTTGCTAAACGTCCCTTCTAGAATTTTCATTTAAATTTAATCGCAGCCATTTGCTGTTGGTCTGGGGAACAGTAACGTTACATTTGTACTCGATACTTATGGCCTTTAAGCAGTGAGGAATCTTTCTCGTGTTAGCTTCCAAAGTGTTATGGACCAATGATTTATTTGGTCTGAATGCAAGGACCGGTCGCTACATCTGGGGTTGGAAAGGAAGGAATCTTGCCTTACTCCTAGACATTTGAGCACTGCGCCACGCAAAAAGCGCCCGATGCTGATGTCGACCGATCCTGGTTTTTTCATTCGACGATACGTAAAGAAATGTTGCCGTCTGAACATTGGCTTGAATGTGATTCAGGTGTTGACAAACAATCCACACCTTACATATGGACATAAACAGGCTTTTGACTATGTTCTGGTTTATTACGTTTCGGTTGTCCTCCAAAATAGAGTTTGTAACTCTAGAAGTTGCTAGACATTGAAAGGAGAAAAAAGGTTTCAGAAGAAAATGAAATGTGATGGAATTTTTTTTCCTTGAAGTTACTTTTGATGCTCTCCATTTCATCATTTAAGACTTTTTGTGTTCGTTTATAATGATGAAGATGAGGAATGGGAAATGAGAGTTCTGCGTTACCCCATTCCTCACCCACGAATATATAAACCAACCATATATTTCATCCCTCACAATGAATTATATAGTAGCGTTTATCTTTTGACTAACATCAAACATTTACATCAACCTACCATGCACAGTTCACTGTACGCTGATGACTCCTAGAGGATAGATTCCTTTCACTGGCATTTCAACGAGTAACAAAAAATCAGAGGGGGGAGATCTCAATATTATTTAAGAAAATGACAAGCATTTCACCTCAGAACTGTAAATATAACACAAATGCAGGATTCTAAAATCAAAAGTATTAATTTGAATTCCATCTTTTTCCAAATATTAGAATATCTCACAATATCAACTTCTTCAAAATACATAACCATTACTACATTACTGAAAAGAAATCTCTACGTATTAAACCCACACTCGTTGAGTTTAACGTACTAATCACTTAAGGTAAAGAGAGAAGGATGGCAGAAATCAATATCGAGTCTAACCTGATTAAAATATGTCAAAGCATTGTCATTGACGTGGATGTAGCCGTAGGATCCTTGAAGCTGAAAATGAAAGTTTCAAAGTTTGGAGCGAAGTTTCTGCTCGCCTTATGTTTGTGTGTGTGCATTACTATGTGTGCTTATTTTTGGACAGGAATGAAATAATAACATCCAATGAGACCTAAACTAGCTAACGAGCATAACTGCTAAGCAGCGAAAATGAGACTTTATAGAAATGATGTTTAGAGAATAAAGTATTCATCTTAATACAAATGTTTGTATTTTTGTTATATAAATAGTTTTTTTTCCTTCATCTTTCCTTGTATCTATTCACAAATTCTCTGCATCTAATAACCAAAACTTACATGTACAGCCTTGTACAATACTTTACAAGTAAAGACAAGATACATCACAGGGAGTTATTATGGTTACCCACAGCGTCACTGGATATTTGTGTATGTATGCTTATCGTCCCTTCTAGAATTTTCATTTAAATTTAATCGGAGCCATTTGCTGTTGGTCTGGGGAACAGTAACGTTACATTTGTACTCGATACTTATGGCCTTTAAGCAGTGAGGAATCTTTCTCGTGTTAGCTTCCAAAGTGTTATGGACGAGTGATTTATTTGGTCTCAATCCAAGGACCGGTCGCTACATCTGGGGTTGGAAAGGGAACTACCAGCAAAAGTAATCTCGCCTTACTCCACGACACTTGAGCACCTGATTTTTCAGTCGACGATACGTAAAGAAATGTTGCCGTCTGAACATTGGCTTGAATGTGATTCAGGTGTTGACAAACAATCCATACCTTACATGTGGACATAAACAGGCTTTTGACTATGTTCTGGTTTATTACGTTTCGGTTGTCCTCCAAAATAGAGTTTGTAAATCTAGAAGTTGCTAGACATTGAAGCGGAAAAAAGGTTTCAGAAGAAAATGTAATGTGATGGAATTTTTTTCCATAAAGTTACTTTTGATGTTCTCCATGTCATCATTTTAGACTTTTTGTGTTCGTTTATAATGATGATGATGAGGAATGGGAAATGAGAGTTCTGCACCACCCCATCCCTCACCCAGGAATATATAAACCATCCCTATATTTCATCCCTCACAAAGCATTATATAGTAGCGTTTATCTTTTGACTAACGTCAAACATTGACATCAAACTACCATCCACAGATCACTGTGTGCTAATGACTCCTACAGGACAGATTCCTTTCACTGGCATATCAACGAGCAACAAGAAATCAGAGGGGAATTAATTTCATTTAAGTAAATGACAAGCACTTCACCTCAGAACTGTAATTATCATAAAAAATGCAGGATTCTAAAATCAAAAGTATTGATTTGAATTCCATCTTTTTTCAAATATTAGAATATCTCACAATATCAACTTCTTCAAAATACATAACCATTACTGCATTACTGAAAAGAAATCTCTACGTATTGGACCCACACTCTTTGCGTTTAACGTACTAATCACGTAAGGTAAAGAGAGAAGGATGGCAGAAATCAATATCGAGTCTAACCAGATTGAAAGAAGTCAAAGCATTGACATTGACATGGATGTAGCCGTAGGATCCTTGAAGCTGAAAATTAAAATTTCAACGTTTGAAGCGAAAATTCTGCTCGCCTTATGTTTGTGTGTGTACATTACTATGTGTACTTATTTTTGGACAGGAATGAAATAACATCCAATGAGGCCTAAGCTAGTTAACGAGCATAACTGCTAAGCAGCGAAGATGAGACTTTGTAGAAATGATGTTTAGAGAATAAATTATTCATCTTAATACAAGTGTTTGTATTTTTGTTATGTAAATGTTTTTTTCTTCATCTCTCCTTGTATCTATTTACAAAGTCTCTGCATCTAATATCCAAAAGTTACATGCACAGCGTTGTACAATACTTTACAAGTGGAGACATTATACATCACTGGGAGTTGTTATGCTTACCTGCAGCATCACTGGATATTTTTGTATGTTTGCTAAACGTCCCTTCTAGAATTTTCATTTAAATTTAATCGCAGCCATTTGCTGTTGGTCTGGGGAACAGTAACGTTACATTTGTACTCGATACTTATGGCCTTTAAGCAGTGAGGAATCTTTCTCGTGTTAGCTTCCAAAGTGTTATGGACCAATGATTTATTTGGTCTGAATGCAAGGACCGGTCGCTACATCTGGGGTTGGAAAGGAAGGAATCTTGCCTTACTCCTAGACATTTGAGCACTGCGCCACGCAAAAAGCGCCCGATGCTGATGTCGACCGATCCTGGTTTTTTCATTCGACGATACGTAAAGAAATGTTGCCGTCTGAACATTGGCTTGAATGTGATTCAGGTGTTGACAAACAATCCACACCTTACATATGGACATAAACAGGCTTTTGACTATGTTCTGGTTTATTACGTTTCGGTTGTCCTCCAAAATAGAGTTTGTAACTCTAGAAGTTGCTAGACATTGAAAGGAGAAAAAAGGTTTCAGAAGAAAATGAAATGTGATGGAATTTTTTTTCCTTGAAGTTACTTTTGATGCTCTCCATTTCATCATTTAAGACTTTTTGTGTTCGTTTATAATGATGAAGATGAGGAATGGGAAATGAGAGTTCTGCGTTACCCCATTCCTCACCCACGAATATATAAACCAACCATATATTTCATCCCTCACAATGAATTATATAGTAGCGTTTATCTTTTGACTAACATCAAACATTTACATCAACCTACCATGCACAGTTCACTGTACGCTGATGACTCCTAGAGGATAGATTCCTTTCACTGGCATTTCAACGAGTAACAAAAAATCAGAGGGGGAGATCTCAATATTATTTAAGAAAATGACAAGCATTTCACCTCAGAACTGTAAATATAACACAAATGCAGGATTCTAAAATCAAAAGTATTAATTTAAATTCCATCTTTTTTTCAAATATTAGAATATCTCACAATATCAACTTCTTCAAAATACATAACCATTACTACATTACTGAAAAGAAATCTTTACGTATTAAACCCACACTCGTTGAGTTTAACGTACTAATCACTTAAGGTAAAGAGAGAAGGATGGCAGAAATCAATATCGAGTCTAACCTGATT